TTTCTTTCTTTCTTTCTTTCTTTCTTTCTTTCTTTCTTTCTTTCTTTCTTTCTTTCTTTCTTTCTTTCTTTCTTTCTTTCTTTCTTTCCTTCTTTAGTACCAGGAATTGAACTCATACCCTCACACTTGCCAGGCAGTTGCTGTGCCACTGAACTATATCCCTGGCCCTGTAAAAAGTACAGTTTTAGAGCAAAATTTAACTCTGCACTTAATTCATTGCTACTCTGCCTATTTTACAGAAGTGTACAAAAATCTGTCATGAAAAATATGCTAGGTTTTGAAAAGGGAATTATTTATTTTATTATTATTCTGCTTTGTTTAGTGACCAGCATTGCAATAGAGTAGCACAATGTTTTATCACTGCAGATACAGACAGTCCTTGCTTCACAGTAGGGACTATAAAACAAGCACCAAACATGCAAGCTGAGACCAGGCAAAGCCATCTTCAGAATCCGTGGGAAAAATTATGATTGTTTGAGGAACTCTAAAAATTTGCATCAAAATTTTAAACACTTTCTAACTGTTAGTTATAAATGCAGAGAGAAAAACATACTTGTTTGGTACATCGTCTTTTAAAATATTTAAATTTTGAGAGTTAAATATTTTGCACTTTTGCTAAAACCTTTTCAAGAGTTGTTAGAGCAGTGCTTTCTTTTTTTGGTATAAATTGTGTTACATAGTGAGCCTTATGGTGAACTTAGAATGCATGGCGTAATGCTTTCTAAGTTTGCTGAGTCAGCTTCCAACATTTTATTCTTTGTGCGTTCGATGGCTTGAAGTATCTGAGGTCCTTTAATTTATTACAGTAAGAGATACATGGCCATTAATTCCTCTAAATACACTCAGAATACTTCCCCTTGCTTGTAACACTCTTTTTCGATTGTTCTTGGCAATATGTCTTTTACTGTAATAAGTTTTTAAAAAATTTAATTATTGACTATATTTCTCAAATACACACACACACGCACACACACCAGTGCCACTTCCTCTGAGATCTTTTGATCCTTTCTGTAAATCCTCATATAGGTCAGTAACTTCACCTTCACTCAATTCTCTGGCTGCTACTGCTAAGCCCATCCATTTTTTGAAACTCCATTTACGTTAGAATTAAATTTTACTTCCATTTATCACTTTTTGTTTCTTTGGGGCATTTTGATCTTGGTTGCCTCCTCCCTCTTTTGCTGATCTGTTTTTATGAAATGTCACCCAGGTTTATCATGGGAGACAAGGCGGCACGTGACTACAAGGGTGGCTCTCTGTGTATGATGTGAATATAGGTGATAATGCTGGGTCCCTAATAGGCTTTGGAAGAAGGAAGCAATTGTTCACTGATAGGTAATTTGCACTGAAGTGGAGCACTAACATTTGTACTTTAAACTCTGCACTTATTCATCATTAATATATAGAGCTAACAAGCTGCAATCTGCCCTATTTCTCTGTGGAATGGAAACTAACACCATTCAGGTGCTTAAGCAGTTATTTACCATTTTGTTATGTATGCAGCCCATTCTGTAATTTAGGAGCTTCTTGGCAAGAGCTCAACACACACCTTGCCAGTCCTCCTCCCCTAGGTCTGAGCTTTGGCATTTTTGCAAATGGCTGACTTATCCTTGGTTTGAATGGTTGAAGCTTAGTAGGAATTAGAGGTGAACTTTGTCTGGCTCTGTTTGTCTTAGTTCTAAGTTGCTTTATCTATAAACCACTGACTACTGGGTTTGAGGCTCTATTACATTTATTCAGCTATTTATCAAAGATATATTGAGCACTTTCCCTGGGGTAAACAAGGTTGAACTTACAAAAATGCATTTAACATAGATACTAGTCATTAAAATTAATAGAGAAGTTCAAGGTTATAAATTGTAGTCACTCCTCCTTACTTATAGATTCTGTATTTGCAAATATGCCACAGTGCTAAAATTTATTGGTAATCTCCCAAATCAATACCTCCTGCACTTTTGTAGTTCTTTTAAAGACATGCATAAAGCAGCAAAAAATTAGAGCCACCTGATGCACAGATTTCCAGCTAAGGTCAAGCAAGGCCATGCCCTACCTCCTTGTTCTAGCTGTGGCACTGCACCAACCAAAGGATGGAGGCAGGAGATACAGAGTAGGGTGAGGCAATCAGACTTCGAGGCTGGATGGACAGCATGTGAATCTAAAAATTAGCATTTGTTAGTGGGTGGCTGTAGGCAAATCATTGTACACTTCTAAACCTCAATTTCTGTCTTGTAAAATGAAGAAAATACAGTCTATCAAGATGGATTGTTTTCAGAATTTATGATTGTAATCTTTCTGAGATATATATCTATATGTATATATTTCTCCTAGGAGTACTGGTTCAGTGTGTGCTAATTCAAGGCTCTTGGCAACTTTATAGAACCTAACTACCAGAAGTAATGAAAACTGACTGTATATTTTAAAACATAATTACATGTTACGGTTGTTATTAACTCTTTTTCTCATTTTCTGGCTATTGGGAAGTGGGTCTCTACAACAAAATGTATCTGAATTCCTATTGATGTACCGCAAGGGCTTAAAGCTTTTAAATGTATTTACACAAATACTTGTTCACTCATTTCAACAATATTTTAATCCAAATAGGTTTTTGGTTGAAAGTAAATGCATTTTGCATTCCATTTACCTGCGTTTAAGGTTGTGTGAGTGGCCAATATAAGGAAGGAACATTCAGACTTCTGCAATGCCTCATTTTCTGTGGAGATAAGGTACAGCAAGACCCTGTCTATCCATAGAATTTTTTCTTCCACTTTAGAGTCTAACATGATTATTTCATTTCCTAACCTTTATCATTATAATTTTTAGATACATAGAAATGTTGAGTGAATCATATATGAAATTCCTGGATACCTACCACTTTGACTCAATAATTGTTATGTTTTCTCACATCTGCATTATTATATATGTGTGAAAATATATGTAACATTTTCTTGAACCATTTTTAAGTTGTAATGATTATAACATTTTATCCCAAATTATTTCATTAAATATGTCCTAAGAATAAGAATATTTTCATACAAAGGGCATTATCATTATCATACCAGTGGCATTTATAATAATTTTCTGATATTATCTAATCTCTGAATTTATAATATTCAATTTTTGTCCTAAAATATCTTTTATTGATTTTTTTTTTAAACCAAGATCCAATCAAAAGTTTTATATTTTGTTATTTTGTCTTTCTGGATTTCTTTAATTTAGAACAGACTCCAATTTTTTACCCATGACATCAATTATTTTAGAGTCTATAATTATTTATACATTGTACATTTTCAGGCCTACCTCTAGCTGGCAAATTTGAGGTCCAATAACTATTAAAAACCTTAGTACCTGTATATGTAAATTTGGTATGTGCATCTGTATGTGGCTAGGAAATATTTTAAAAGGTAGTTATGGTTTTGACCAAGTAGGGCCTGGGTGGAGGAGGTAGGTCAATGGGGGAGTGACATGAAAGGGTTTATTCTTCTCTGTCTCTCTGTCTCTCTGTCTCTCTGTCTCTGTCTCTGTCTCTGTCTCTCTCTTTCTCTTTCTCTCTCTGGTTCCCTGCTTCTATGAGTTCAGCAAGTTTCTCTGCCAAACCCTCCACTAGACGTAAGTTGGAGCCAACTTACGATGAACTGAACCCATCAAAACTGTGAGCCAAAATAAATCTCTCCTCCTTTAAATTGTGGGTGTTAGGTATTTTGTCTCAGAAATGGTAAAGCTAATGAATACATTAATGCATATAAAATAGCTTTGCAAATTATGTGGGCTAGATAGTCTCAGTTATTCTCAATATTATAGTTCTAAAAGTTATTTTGAAAGTGATCCCATTATTTTGTTATATGATGGTCATAATAAATTATTGAAATTAAAATATTGGGTCAGTGAGCAATTTACAATAAAAATAAACCAGTATGTTTGTAAAGAGAAGGTATTGGGTGTTGAAGTTTCCCACTATAATTGTGGATTGTCTATTTCTCTTTTCAGCACTATCTGTTCTGATTTACATGCTTTTTGAGGCTCTGTTATTTGGTAGGTTTGTATTTTGGACTATGGTATCTTCCTGGAGAACTGGCCCTTTCACCATTTTGTTATTATCCATGTCTTTCTCCTTGGCATCATCTCCTTGTGGGGCTGTGAAGTGACTTGTCAGTGACCCTCCCTTACAGACCTTTTTGTTTTTCAGGTTACAGCATTGGAAGGCACCATTCCTGTCATCATGGAACACCTGTCCTAGCCTAGCTCCTGAGCTGTGCCTGCCCTGATACCAGCCCAAACCCGCTGCATTCCTTTTTACAAGGTGCTTAAGGGTACTCTGAGTGTAGGAAAAAGATCAATGGGTTACATGGGCCATGGGGTCACTAGGAGACAGAAAGAACAAAAGGAATGCCACTGAGTTAAACTGTCCCCATGGGCTGCTGTGATCTCCAAGTATTCTAAAGTTTGCTATTATTTATCTATGAAATTCTACAGCATTACTTCACTTCACCAGCCTCTGCTTTTTTAGTATCTTAAATGAGAGAGCTCAGGAGATGACTTTTAAGTATTTTTCCTCTAAAACTCTTTGAATTCCAAGGAATATGGGTGGAGAAAAAGAAAGATAATGGAAAAAACCTGTTTCCTGAAGCTGCGTCTCATTCCCAAACATATTGAAGTCTGCCAAACCCAACCAGACCCTACCAGCTTCCCTTCCCCTTGGTTTTTGGAGCTATGTATATTTTTAGAGAAATGTGTTCCATGTGTGTTTTATTAATTTACACTTAAGTTGACAAAATATTGTTTTCCCAAGGCTTTTTTGATGTCTTGAAAATCTTTTATGTTTTCTTTATAAGCACTGTTTAAGCAGAGGGAGTCCCTTGTTTTTGCTTTAGCGAACTCCTGAGCTCCCTCATTTGGGGGGAAAGGTCCTTGTATTATGGTTGAACTGTTTTTTGTTTTGTTTTGTTTTTGAGACAGGGTCTCACTGTGTAGTTCAGGCTGGCCTTGAGTTCACTATGCATTCTGCGCCAGCCTCAAACTCAAGGCGATCCTCCTGCCTGTGCCTCAGGAATGCTGGGTTTACAAGTATGGGCCACCATGCCTGGGCATGGTCAAACTCCTGCCAGGTTGTGTTGGAGCTGTCTATCACTGTCCTGATTGTTCTTTACAAGGGTGTCTGATACTTTTTCTACCAAAAAAAGAGTCTCACCAGACCCTGTGCCAACACTAACAGGGACAGGATGTGTGAGTCCGATGTCAGTCAGCTGCAGTGGGTAGAGTTCCACCTGCCCTATGTCCTGTCCCTCTGCTAGGCTGCCGCCTCCATGCTGTTGCTGGAATTAGGCCCTGTCATAGCACACCTGGCAAGGGTACCCAGCTCTCCTGGTCTCTTCCTGCAGACACATGAGTGCTGTTTTCTTTCTCCAGCTGGTACAGTCGTGATATGGTTGGAGACCACTGTAGAGATGAGGACTAGGAAGAACCCTAGAATCTGGCCTGCTTCTCGTTGGAAATACGGTTTGTTTTCTTCTGGGACAGTCTTCTGGCACTTGAAAGCCATTATTTGCTATCGATTATGGCTTTTCACTTGGGCCCATGGATGCTTTATGGGTAATGGGGTACAGATTAAGGCTTGACCTTCATTTTGCATCCTTTGTTACTGTGGGTCTTGGTCAAGTCTCTTTTCAGCTCTGCAAGAGATGTGTTGACTGTTTGAGGAGTGTCTATGTGGGAGGTGGCTGGATGGATTGACTGGCCCTGAATTTGCATGATCTCATCTCCCTTCAGGACTGAGGGCCCCAGGATGGGAAATCTGCGGGGACATTCAGTAGGGGTCTCCAGCCATTGGCTTGTACCTGTGATCACCTGACTTTGGGGTAGGAGGGAGCCCTCCAAGACCGGGTCCACCACTCAGGCAGAGATGGTCTTTTCCTGTGAGTTGGGTCATTCCTTAGTCATGAGGATTCCAGAACTGTGAGACCGGGACTGAAGTAGTGGTTGAACCATCCCCAGCCCACCAGCCGACCTTTAAGGGCTGGCTTCCCACCCACTTTTGTGGGTGGGCTGGTCTGAACTACAGTATCAGGGTGTGCCCTTCCCAGCTACTTTAGCTGGAGTCCTTTCCTATCTTTCCACTAATGTTCCAGCTTAAGTTTTTTTTCCCTTGAAAACTTGTGCTTTACTTTTAATTTCCATTTCTGTTAAAGGAAGGACCCATGCCAGGTGATGACAGCTTTGTTTTATGTAGCAAATGGCCAGACAAGAATGCTCCATGTAGAATCAGATCAAGACCATCAACATCACAGTGCTCAGATCCTCTTCATGGGACCACTTTCCCAGGAGGCTCATCTGCCTCTGAGCACGCAAGGGAGGGTGTGATTCTAGTTTGTCTATAATTCTGACCTCTACCCATCATTCACTTCTAAAGATCTGATTCTGGGAAGGATTCAATATATTGACACTCTTTCTTTTTATTCCTTGGTTCTTGTTTTTGAAAATTTGCTGTTGTTGACTGTTTTCTGAAGCACACCAGCCACTCTTCCTCTGACATGCCTCTGCTGGGATTTAAATGTCCCCTCTATGTTGAAGTTTGTCATCAGAATAGTATTAAATGGTGGGATCTTAAAGGAGGTGATTAGGTCATGATGGAACCACTCTCAGGAAGAGATCTATGGAGAAGTGGATTAGATATTTGCTAGACCCTGTCCCACTGTGTGCGTGTGAGTGTGTGTGTGTGTGTGTGTGTGTGTGTGTGTGTGCGTGTGTGTGCATATGTGTACTTCTGCTGAGTTTTCAGATGTTATTGGTGCTGTTGACCTGGAGAACCACCCTTTGAGAACCACGGTATTTCAGCAAGGGCAGCAGGGAATGCAAATTACACAAAGGTTTTGGAAGGAGACCTTGAATACCCAGCTCCCCATGGGCAGGCACTCTCAAGCTGGTGCCCCTCATCCTCTGGCTTTGCTTTCAGTAGCAGAGAAGGAAGAGAAGGATTATGTAACCCGTGGTGTCACCACCTCCAGCTCTCAGCCTCTCTAAGGCTGCCTGCACCTCCCAGGGTGTCTCCCTGGTTGGTCTCCTCTGCCAAGGAACGTGCAGAGGTGAGGAATGAGGAGGATGCCCTACTTGCAGAACTTATATAGAGGAGCCCTAAAAACTTAGGAAATGCACGCTTTAGTCCTCCCTTCTTTTTGAATGTCAAATCCTCCTTTTGTGCTTTCAAGCGGGGCCCTGGCAGGTTCCTCTTCTCTCCCCATCTGGGGACACGGGATCTGTGCTGGTATCATCGCTAGAGCAGCCCAGCTTTTCAGTGCCGGCAGATGCAGCCTGGTTGCCATTTAGATGAGAGCATCCTGCACCTGGGCAGAAGACTGGCCATGCTAATAAAGAATTGTAATTTACATGAGAATGACAAGTCTAAACGTGACGAGACTGATAGGGTTTGCCCACAGCCAAATCCTTTCTGCCTGAGTACATTTCGATTTGAATTCCTCTAGAAACACCAGCTCCATCGCGCTTGGGCAATATTGAAAAGGTCAGTGGAGGCAATGTCAGACATGGTCTGTAGTTGCTCTACAAGTGCTTTGGTGGCGATGCATAACAATATCTTATAGTGGCCACGAGCTGCCCTGGCTCTCTGAGGGGCTTGCTCTATTTATCTAGTAGCCACTGATTTTTTTCCTCCTTTTTCTTTCCCTCCTTTTTTTTTTTTCAGTCTCTGGAATATCACTATACAACCAGCTAATAAGTTTTTTTTCCAAGACACTGTAAGGATAAATGTTTTGATCTGGTTTCCACATGCAGCCCTCCTCAGAGTGTTTGCACATTAAATATAAATAGCAGCAACTCCAGGGGCTTAGCTGCCTGCATGCAGCGTTTACCTTGGAGAGATTTTGGCATAATAGAAACCTTGTGATCTCTGCCCTGTTTTGCCTCAGGCAAAGATGTGTTGAGGGTCTGTTCTTCAGGCTTTAAAAAGCCTGTCTGTGATTCTCAGGGAAGTAAATGGTGGATTGGTAGTGGAGAGCATTCAGGGTCACAGGGTGGGCTCTCTAGAAGGAGATACTGAGATACAGTTGGGGAGTAAAGCGTTTATTGGGGATCCCTTGTGAAAACAAGAGAAAGGAAACAGGCCTGGGCCAAGGAATGAACTGTGGATAGACCCACAAAGCTCTAGCTGATGATGCGAGAAAGCAGGATCAATACTGCCCACAGGCTGCCCATGCCACACAGAAACGTCCAGGCCTGTTGACCCTCATCTCCATTTGGGTTCCGGAGGTGGGCTGTGGTATGCCTGTGAGCACTGACCTTTCTGCACTTGACCTGCCACGGGGAGAGCAGGAAGCTGTGTGCTAGGAATGCTGCAGCCCATGGGCAGCTGGCAGTGCTGGGTGGTCCATGACAGAATCTACTACGGGAGTGTATAGATGCTCAGATACTGCCCCAGAAAGATCCAGAGCAAGGCATGGCCCTTCTGGTCTCTCTTTTTCTCTGAAGGATGGAGTTAGGTATTTTAATCCAATACTCCTGAGAATGAGGGTTTCTGAAATAAAAGGGTTTATTGAACCATTAGAGATACTAGTCAGAATAGGACCGTGTCCAGAGATGAGTTCTGAGGTTCATAGCAGCAAGCCAGACCTAAGAACCAAGAATATTTTTATAGTGAAACTTAGGGGAAGGAAGGCATAAATTGTTTACATTAGCTATAGATAAGCAGGACAGATAGGGAAAGTTTTTGGCTAGGAAGATACTTGGAAAGAAGAAGCTTCTAGATTGTTGGAGGTTAATAGTCTAGAAAGTTCATTCATAAGCTGAACCTTGGTGGTTGACCAACTGGGGTTTTGAGTTAAGGTTTCAACAGATATTTAGGAATATGAAGAAGTTTTTCCTTGATTTCTGCCCACATTTGTTAATTGATTATATCCTCCCCCACCTCTATCTTTTAGCCCTTGTAATGAAATTACATATTTCTTAATCTCTGGTTTCCAAAGGTACTAAAACTTTTAGAATTTCCTGAGTGATCGGAATGTGCTCTGTTATCCATAGTATCCCTCTTTCAAGTGTGTGAGTTTGTGTTGATGAGATGACCCTGGGAGGATGGGGCTGGCCACCAGAGGGACCAACCATTGAATAGAGATTCAAAACTTACAGTCTCATCCTCCAACCTCCAGGACTGAGGGGGTTGGAGAGTGCATTAATCATCAATGGCCAATGAATAATCAGTCATGTCTATGCAATGGATTCCCCATAAAAGCCCTAAACCATGGGGCCCAAAGATACTCGAGTTGGTGAA